ATCCTCTGCTGAAAGGACGGAAAGTTGGTGGCTTAGCCTGAAATGACCTACTGAGTAATAGCTAATTTAAAACTATCATGTGATTGATTACTCAAATGCAAAACATGCTCATTTAATGCCATTTTCAGTTGTTTGAACAAAGCAAGACATAGCACTTTCTTTTTAACCTCTTTCTAATAATGAAGTTTGGTGAAATACTCTAAGTATTAAGAACACAGTCCTTCTGGTATAATTTGATTTGAAAGCAAAATTTTTAAATAGCTTTTTTCTTTTAATTTAGAAGCAGTGTGTGAAAGTAGCACACTGTTGTAAAGATTTACTACAGTGTGTGTTGTCTTCACAAAATCCATGAAGCAAACAACCCCTTTCCCCCCACTTCTTTGAATTAAATTAAACAAGAATATAATTTGTGTTGCAGTCGCTATGCAATGTGTTGAAAACCTCAAAGTGAATTTAACGCTGTGCTGATGCTCTTTGCAGGATATAGCTCATATGTTTGTAAGAGTGGGGATGTGTGAACAAGCTGTGTCAGCCTTTCTGAAATGCAATCGACCAAAGGATGCGGTAGATACCTGTGTACATCTCAACCAGGTAAAAGAGCCGTAGATAATCTGCTTTACTGATACCAAATTAACAGTGAGATTCCTGTCCTAATGCCCAGGTAACTACAAGTCCTTGTTAAGTGTCTGATGATTCATTGTGATTTCCGGATGATTAATACTTCAGCGCTTCAGCCAGTTATCTGGAATTAGGACTAGACTGTTGGAGGGACAAAGCCATACGCAGCAGCGTGTGTGGGGTGAGCATGTTCAGCATACAGGCGTTTGTGGCCTCTGTAGGGCCAGGCTGTGCTGCCTCTTAATGGGAATGGGAGGAAGACTGGAAAGCTTCTGGCTGCTCATTTTCCACATCCCCCTCCTTCCTTGTACAGATGCAAATGTATTTGTTGCTGCGTAGGATGTAGCTGGAAAAGAACTGATCTGAAAAATGATCTGTATGTTAACAACTAGAGCTCTTCTCCAGTATGACTTACCTGTGCAAACATTTGTGTCAGCTCAAATAAGAGAGAAACTGAGGATGACTATGAGGACCTTGATGTAGGGGAATGGCAGGACTGACTGGTGCTGGCTTTATGTGAACAATTTCCTAGTTTATGGATCTGAAGGGCTATTAGGTATGAGATTCAGCCAGGTTTCTCAGTCCTGCCAAACTTTTGGTCTGGGGCAAACACCGTAGCCAAAATGTTGATCAGGAAAATTCACAGACAAAAGGAGGAGTAGACAAGGGTAAGAAAAGTGTCACTGTTTGTGCCTTGAGCTTATGGGCTGAAGTCCTCTTTAGCCATGCTTCTGACAGCCTGGAATATAGAGAAGCTGTACGAGTGACCAGGGATCAGGTGAGGAAGGCTAAAGCCCTGAAGGAATTAAATTTGGCAAGGGATATAAAAAGCAATAAGAAAAGCTTCTATAGGTATGTAGGGGACAAAAGGAAGTCCAAGGAGAACGTAGGCTCCCTCCGGAAGGATACTGGTGCTCTGGTTACCCGGGACATAGAGAAGGCTGAGTTACTCAATGACTTTTTTGCCTCAGTTTTCACTGATAAAGCCTCTTGTCTTACTGCCCAAGCTGTGGAAAGAACTAGCAGGGACTGTGAGGATGAACCACCGCCCACTGTACTTGAAGAGCAGGTTCGAGAACATCTGAGGAACTTGAAGGTGCACAAGTCCATGGGACCTGATGAGATCCATCCACGGGTCCGAAGGAACTGGCAGATGAAGTTGCCAAGCCACTGGCCGTTGTATTTGAGAAGGCGTGGCGGTCTCGTGTCTGGCGAGGTCCCCGATGACTGGAAGAGAGGGAACATAACCCCCATATTTAACAAGGGGAACAAGGAGGACCCAGGCAATTACAGGCCGGTCAGGCTCACCTCTG